ACTAATTGACCCTGCCACAACACTAAGGAAAAGTAAAATGTAGCATACAGAAGCCAGGAAGAGAAGACTGTGTCTTCCCGCAATATCCCTCCATCAACCTCTGCTGACAAAGCTCAATATCATTCTCACTGTGACAGAGAAATGTCTAAAGAGTCCAATCCATTATTCCAGAGCAGGTATTAACAGGTAAATGTGGAGCTAAGAGACTACTGGTAACTGGCACAGATAGCATCAAGTTCCTCCTTCTCTCTCACCTGAACTACAGTAATGAAAACATAAATTGCCATTGATTGGAACTATGATTTAGTAAAGGTCCTACAGCCATTTCCTAGGCTATTCTGAGTTCATGTAACCATGATCTTCAATTGGCCCCTTAAAAATATTCTACTATTACATGTTTAATGATAGTTCTAATGTAAGATTCTAACTCTTCAAAATTTTTCTACATCTTCCTCTTTTCAGGGGAAAGCAATTAGGAAAAGGTAATAGTAAAAAGGAAAGCGAAAGATGGCACCTGGAGAAGTGAAGACATTTGTTCCATCATACTGTCATGGACCACTAAAGCTGACTTTGGTAGTAAGATCACTTTGAAAACAACTGGGACTTCAGTCAGTTAAAAACAACTTTCCTCCCCATCAGTGACTGATCCCCTTACCCGCTTGACAAACATTGCTTGCCTAAAGTAGGGGGATCAAAAACCTTTTCAATTATCTCTTTAAACTTAGTCACACCCATTCAGGGAAGGAAAGAGACCAAAGGGAAAGGGGGAATTAAGATGAACAATACTTATTAAGCAAGCATAGCAAAAAGCATGTTCTTGATCATAGGTGTGTAAATAAGAGAATATCTGGTGCAAGCTTCTCCACACAGAATGTATATGAATAGATTTTTAGAAGCTTTTTAACGTTTGGCGCTTTAAAAGTTTCTAATGGAGGAGGAAAGTCCAAAGGAAGAAGAACAAAACAATAGAAAACTGAGATCTACCATCTACATAGGAAATGCACTGCCTTTTCCATAAGCCATCAAACCACTTTCTTTTCCTTTTAGTGATTCATCTTTTACTGTAAAAGCATCTCCAAAATTCTACAATACATGTTAATCAAAAACCTTAAAAATTATGTTCTTCTGTAAAGCAATTCCATTTGATATTACTGACCACTCATTCTAGTGAATTTCGTAATACATAATACAATGCTCTCCTAATTCTCCCCCTACCTCACCCTTAAACATTGGCATTTTTTAGTTCTGTTGCAGGCCTCTTCTCTCTTTGCACTACTCATCCATCTCCTCAGTCACCAATTGCATGGTTTTATTTTCTACCTACATGCCAGTGACATAAATCTGTTTCTACAGCCTAGACTTGCCTTCTAAGCAACAGACCTATATATCCAACTAACTGCAAACATATTACAAATGTCTCTCAGGCACCTCAGAACCAACATGTACAAAACTAAAGTCATCACCTTAACCACAAACTTTCTCTTGCTCCTTTATTCTTTATCTCAGTGAATAGCACTGTGATATTCTCGGTTACCCAGGTTAGAAACTTAGAAGCCATACTTGTTTTCCTCTTTCCCTTCAAGTCCTGCAGAAATTCTACTTCCTAAATATTATTTAAATCCACCCACCTCCCTCGATCCCCAGAAACTCCCCTAAATTATGGCACTGTCATCCAATGCCTTCTCAGGAATATCTTTCCACACAACCCACTCTCCACCAGAGAGTCATACTTAGAAATGTGTCATAATGACATATTTGGCCAGTCATTCTTAGAAATCAGAAATCACATTACTCCATAATGAGAAGGGCTTAAAACCCTTCCAGTTACTATTAGGAAACAGTTCAATCTTAACATAAAGTCCTTTATTTTGCCCAGCCTACATCACTGTGTTCATTTTTCCTCCTCTTCCTTCACCAGCACCTTCTCTCTTGCCTCCAAGCCTTTGTATATGCTGCTAACTTTCTAGAACCCTCTTCCTTTCCACCTATCCCTATGCACTTGGTCTATTGCTACTCATGTCAAGACTAAGATTTTCATTCCATGATAAAAGTTCCTCAACCCCTTGGTTTGAGATGACCCCATATATTGTGGTCCCAGGGTACCCTATACTTCTCCCAATCCAACATGTATTATCTTTCATTTTTATTTTTTTAAATCAGCTTTAAGGTATAATTTATGTAAAAAAAATTCACCAATTTAAGGGTATAATTTAATAGAATTTGATAGATGTGTCAGTTGTGTAACAACACCACGATCAAAATACAGAACATTTCTATCAGACCAAAAAGTTCTGTTGCACTTTTTTCCAGTCAATCCTCTCTCTATACTTCTGGCTTCAGATTAACCACTGATATGCTCTCTATAACTATAGTTTTGATAGGGACTGGAGGCAGAGAAATTCTAGGAAGAAAAAGGTGGGGTCCCTGGCAAAGCCCCACCCTCAGGCCTAGAACCATGGCCCCAAGTGAGAACATCCCCATTTTTCCACTCAAATGTTGCCTTTTCCAAAACCCCCCTAGCACACCCTATCTTCCATTCTGTACCCATAAAAAGCCCAGGCTCCACAGGCAGAGGAATGCAGAGAAGAGAAGCAGCAGCCGGATGTCAGAGAAACAGCTTGACTTCAGAGGGACAGCTTGACAGTGGGACATCAGAGAAGAGCCTGGCTCAGGATTGCCAGACTCCAGAGGAAGACCATGTTCCCACTCCATCCCCTTTCCAGCTCCCCTTCCCACAGAACGCCACTTTGATTGACAATAAAATCCTCTGCATTCACCACCCTCCAATTCATTTGTGCATCCTGATTCTTCCTAAAAGAGCATTGTAACACACGCCCTCTGGGGATCCAAGGGTCACGAGTACCCTTCTAGATGCTGCTGTGGGGCCACACAGAGTTCTGCTCCTGCCTGTGCTTACTACATTATTTCCTGTGCCAGACATGTAAGGCAATCTGGCACATACGGTACTCAACAATATTTAATCAATTGATTGTAATTAGTAAAAATATGGAGATACAATTAAGTTTTCTGTACTTGACAAACCAGTCATATTACCCGCCACACTCACAGCCTGATGGGCTACCATATTTTGGGTCATAGGGTTCTATTCTTTCTACTTCCTTCGTGGCTACATATTATTGGGCTAGAGAGAAGCAAGAGCACCTAATCCCCAGGCTGACCATCTAACTACACCCAGTCCTAATGTGGGAAAATTCTACTAAAACGGAGGCAAGTTAGACCAATCAGAGTCCTCTAATTAAAGATTCTAGTTGCAAAATACTACAAGGAATAGGCAGATGACAGAGATATGAAGCTGAAACAAAGGCCATGAAGCAGAACAGAAGCTATGAAAATGTTTGTTTTCTCATTTTTTTAGAGACAAGGTGTCACTCTGTTGCCCAGGTAGGAGTATAGTAGCACAATCATAGCTCACTGCAGCCTGGAACTCCTGGGCTAACGTGATCCTAAGCTTTTAAGCTTCGCAGGTAGCTAAAACTACACGTGTGCACCACTACACTCAGCTTTTTTTTTTTTTTTTTTTTTTTTGCCCTGCTAGAGATGGGGTCTTGCTATGTTACCCAGGCTGGTCTCAAACTCCTGGCCTCAAGTGATCCTCTGACCTCAGCCTCCCAAAGGGCTAGGATTGCAGGTGTGACCCACTGCACCCAACCAAGACAAAATTCAGAAGATAAATCTGGGAGGTAGCTAAAAGAAACCAAGTATACTATGGCGGTCATCAACTTGATCACATATCTGAATAACTTGAAAAGCTTCTTAAAAATCATTCATCAGGTCTCATAAAATTTAATTCAACAAATATTTATTGAGTCCCTAATTTGTGCCAGACACTGTGATAGTCACTAGGATAACAGCTATCATGGAGCTCACAGTTTAGAGAAACAAAAGTAAACAAACTAATTATCAATTGTGATAACATATTTTTTAAAAAAGAACTGAAAAGAGAAAAAGGAAAAACAGTAAAATGACTCTAGATGAGATATTTAGGGATGGCATTACTGAAGTGATAACATGTAGCCAGTTCTCCTGTCAATGGGAAAAGAGAATGGTAAGGCCACAGAGGCTTTCAAGATTGGAGTGCCAAAACCTGGTGGCTTTACCTACTTCTTATTGGCCAAAACAAGTTACGAGACAAGCCCAGATTCAAGGAGTAGGGAAACAGACTCCACCACAAATGAAAAAAGCTGCAAAGTCTGAAACGGCTTTGACTACAAAGAGGCTGTTAATTGTGCCATCAGCACACTCAATCCATCTCAGCTACCACCTCTGTATGCAGACTCCTGACTTGCTCTGCTTCCTCACTGGAAGCTGCCACTCTAGAGTTAGTCCCCAGCTGTATTCTTCCTCTCAAGATCTGTCCCGACTTCCATATCACCTCTTATATTGCATCTACTCACTTACTCCATTTCCTACTCCCTTGAATGAACCACTGGGACCTCCCACTACTGTTCAGATGAGTTCCAAGAGGCTTATAACTACTAAGCACTGTCTCCACCATGACAACAGATCTGGACTGTTTTTTTGAGGATGAAATACCAACCTACAGCCAGCAGATATTCAAACATGTGAACAGTCCAGCCAAGGTCAGCAGGGCAATCTTCCAGACCCACAGCTAACCACAGATGCATAAATGAGCCCAGTTAAGACCAGAATATCCCACTGATCTACAGATTCCAGAATAACTACACCATAGGCCATAGACTTCCACTGATCCTGATCCAATTATAAACAGCAACCATAGCAGAAATGCAGTCTTGTAGACCATGATGGTGAGAGGTGGGAGAAAACAGAACTACAACTTAGTGCTAACGTGAGAAGTCAGGAGTGTTAATAATAAGAGTAGAACTAGCAAGGAGATTTAAGGGAGTAATTAAGACAATAATTTAGATCCTGAATATGGGCAGGGGAAAACCATGAGTTTGATTTTGGATGATTTTGATGGAGATGGTAGAGATGTTTGACAACAGTTGGAAATGTGGACCCAGAGTTCCAAACAGTTGGCAGTAGCTGAGCTAGCAATGAGATTAGAGGAGAGGAAAGGCTGATGCTTCAGCCTTGGTTAAGGCTAAGTTAGAAAAAACAAAAGGGAAGAGTCAATTAAAAAAAATGACAAAGTAAAAAGAAAAAAATCCAGGATATTATAGTGTGTTAGAAGGCATGAGAGCAGATAATTTCAAGAAGTGAGGCATTAGACACTGTCAAGGGCTGTAGCAACATGAAGGTGAGTAAGAACTCAAAGTTCCTTTTGTCAGGGGATTGGTGAATGAAAATGAACAAATATTTTAAGACTGACTCACAGTGATAATTATGGTAAAATAAGAACTTTAATTTATTTATAATTTTGAGGTATTTAACAGTTTTTGTAAATGTCATGCAGGCCTAGTGTCAACAGAACAAAGGAGATGGGGGAAAAACTGACCAGGAAGATAGCCAGCGTGGGAGTCTCAAGAAGAAAGGTATTTATCAGGAAAATATAACTCTATTTTTCTAAAATTCCTGCCATGGTTTATAAAAACCACAATACTCCTTGAAGTCTGAAAACATTTTGAATATGCTTCACTTTGCAGATTTAGAAATAGTACCCTGGAGAGGGTTCAGTTTTGAAGGAAGAGGAGCCAACAAAAAAAAAAATCAGATTGCATAAGAAGCCAAGTATGATCTTTCTTTGATGGCACTCACTGGGCATCCCATGAATTTATAATCAAGAGTTTCTAATTGATAAAGCTTTGATAGCACAAAAGGTCATCACGGATTACTTGGTCCTACTTTGCAACATACTGTGCTCTTCACAAACATTAGCAATTAACTGCAATAAATAATGGCATGAGTCACCCCTTCAAACATAGGGCAGCATCCTGAAGCCCCTTACCTGCAGTAAACAGCAGTCAGAACTGGCCTTTGTCACAAACACTTTTCAGTTGCTTTCTATACCGCTGTTAAATTCTCCTCTGAAGTTTATATGATTTTTTTCCCTTGAATATATACATTTACATGGGGTACAATTCTATTTTCTCACATAATAAGACAACCATATTTTTAAATAAAGTCTCCGTATCATAAGTGATAGATGTATGAACCTGCCATTTTTATAAAGCTATTTTAATTAAATTATTCTTTCTTTTAACCAAGAACCTTTTACTGTCCTTATGATTTATTATTTTAATTCAGGCCAACTGGCAAGAAGGAATTAGGTGTCATTCTGTTGTAACATGTCTCATTTCCATTCCAATTTTGTTCACAATAAATGTGTTACAGTTCTTCCACTGGCAGTCAAGGAAACCTCATACCAAAACAGCTTTTACTTGCAGTTATAACAGAGCCAAGCAATACATATGCTATTTGACAGTTTGGAATAATCTGTTTTCCAGCATTCATCTGGAGTTATTGGAACCATTAAAATTATTTTTTTACAGTTTTTAAAGGCCTACAACATATTAATTTATCCTGATGGATGGTATAATGTGTTCATGTAAAAGAAAAACAAGTGTTACATAAAACATGACTAAGCTGTCAACCACCTCCTCTTTACCTTTCATTTGACTCTATGTTTAATTTATTCTCCATTGAAAATGGCAACCAATAAAAAATAAAACCCTCATTTTGATTTACTGTTTATTTTTCACACCCCTTATCACAGTGAGCAATTTTTTGATCCAAAATAAGATTGAAATTTTTGCTTTCACACAAAAGTAAACACAGATGGTCTGATAATAAAAGAGAACTTTACACAAACTGCCTCATTTGAAGCAGACCCATTTAATGCCACATTTCATTAAATATGACCTGTCTTAAATCAGACAGGCTCAAAAAAAAGAAAAAACAGGCTATCCCACAAGGAGTCCATCTTTATCTTTATTTAAACTCAGTGTGGCTTGTCTGTCACTATAAAAGACTTTGCCTTCTTTGAACAGGCATAGACATTAAAGCTAAAGAACAGGGTGGGCCTCCTTACTCCAGCCAGACCAATCCAATTTACAAACAGATTGTATTCAATGGCTCTTTCGTCAGTCTACTTGGGATTTTAAAAGCATTTTACCCACAGAAACAATGTTATACCCACTGGTTAGGTTCTTAAGAAAGGCTATTTAAAAGGTTAAAAACCTATTTAATCTAACATATGGTTGTGCTAATAGTTTAACAGGAACAAAATGCACCTGTGCTAAATAATACTATGGGATGATGTATAATAATGTCTCTGAGACAAATCATTAAGAATTCCAACCTTTTATGCCTGTGGCACAACTTTCAGTAACATCATTCTCACTTCCTCTTGCAGACTTCTCCTGCTACTGGACAACAGGAGTTGGAATTCCTTGCCCTAAATAGAAGCCACCAGTTTTGGCCACTATCATCTGGAGCCAGGGCTCCAGCAGAGTAGAAGATTTATTTAAGGGCTGATGAAGACAGAGACTGGGTCTGAGAGGTGAAAGTGTGGGATGGGGTCTCGGAAGTTAGGAATCGACAAAAGTCTCCTGCCAGGGTACACCTCAGTCCTCACTCCTTGGTCTAGCCTGTGCACCATTATTCTTTTCTTCCAACAGCCCTGGGATTATTTTGATTCCCCTCCAATTGCTACCACTTATTGCTTCTACCAAGGTTTCACTCTTCCTCCTAGTCCACTGCATCACAGAACAGCAGTCTTGGCTTTTCTCCTTTGTTCCCAGGTAACCTTTTGAAGTTTCCTAAAGGTAGTTACAGCTGCTAACAAAGAAAGTCAAGGGATAAACGTGCTTTTCCAAATTCACCTTCCACCTCTTTTCTTTTTTAATTTAGACTAAGATGAGAAAAAGCACACTTGGATGATAACAATCTGTTTGTGGGGGTGGGGACAAATAAGGTATAAATTTGTTTCACACCATTCAAGAGCAAGACAGCTCACATTAAATGGGTATGCTCTACTTGGAGAAAAAAAAAATCTGGCTCTGCTCTCATCAGCCAGAAGTATCAAGATATTCCAATTCACTTTTGGATGACTGACTTCTCCTCCTCAATGCCCCCCACCAGAATGGGGAAACAGGATGGTGCCCTGAAAAAGTAAATCTCTAATGATCTTTAGGCCACCATGATCACATATGAGATGTTAATTGCCTAAGCCCATCAGTCCATTCAAAGAATAACCACACCATTCTTCTGTACCAGGGATCTTTTAAGTCAGCTTCCATGACAGTTACAAATGTTTACTGTTCACAGTATTAACATGAACCACCTCAACTCCCCATCCAAAGACTTTATTAAAAGGCAAGGGGACACATTCCAACCATTCATAGAGCCATCACCTAGATTAGTACTCCCCAAAATCTCTGAAAGCTATTTCTACTCCTGCCAGTTCTGTTTCCTCTGAACTCCCCAAAAAACTCCTCACTTTCATGCTCCAATTGCTTCCTTCCTCGGACACCGCTAATCCCAAAACATTAACATGGTTGATGGGTTTTATTTCAGAGAACAAGAAACATCCATTTTCATCCATGTTATTTTTCAGGCCTGCCATATAAAGGCAGTTTATAATACCTTGAAGCTAGGAATCCCAGAATCAGAATGTAACAGCTTCTGGGGATAACAGAAACAACAAAAAAATATCAGTAAATTATCCTGACAAATACATTTTAGAAAAACTCTCAGCCTCAAGTTTCTCCAATTATTTCATGGTAGGTCTGCTGTGAAGACCAAGCCAGAACCCTAGATATGGCTACTGAGTAAATGGCATGAGGGATGAAGATGCTACCAAAGAGACCAGTACCCTGGGCCTGAGAGAACCCCACCAATAACAGATGGCTTACTCTCCCCTTCTCTTTTCAGTATTCTTTTCTTTCTGCTTTATGATCCTGTCATTCATACATATGTAATATGTAATCTCTAAAGCCAACATTAAAAGTTTACCGTATACCAAGCAGTATGACAAATAATTGTTTAGTGTGATTATTTTAATTGATTCTCACAACTCAGTAAAATAGGTTATTATTCCAACTTAAAGATAAGGGAATTGATAATCCTCAAAAAATTATTACATAACTTTATAGCTACAAAGACTTTATAGCTAAAAAGAAAATATAAGGCTTCCTAATTATCAGAACCAAAGAACAAAATACCATCAAAAATCAAAGAAAATGTACCATGTGGTAAAATTTTTAAAAATCAATAAACACAGAAAATATAACCTAAAATATGATGTTAGTATAGAAGCAAAAATATCTGTCATTTAACTAAATGTATATGGGATAAACTCTATTTAAATAAAGGAGTTCCATTTTTTCAATAAAGGTGGTCTAGGATTTGGTGGCCTCGCTCAGAAAGTTGAGCTGTGCTTATTCTGAGGATGCTCATACCCATGGAGCATTTAATATTTTCTGAAAGGGGCAGCTGAGAGGCTAAGCAGAGTTTCAGATAGCACTAGGTGAGGGACAGACTAAACTATAGATCCTGAAGGAAAAGGAGGACTCATAAATACTCCTCGTTTTGGCTTCAGACCAAGAAGGAGATACCCTAAAAGGAAAGTTAAAGCAGAAGTAGACAGACCTTCAGAGTTTTAAATTGTTTCAGTCCCTGAAACTGAAATGAGGTGAGTCACAGATTGCTAAGGCCCACATGTATTTGGCAGAAAAAGTAAATCTTTTATGGAAGAAGTTAATGTCATTCCATGTCTCAAATGTTTTCTAAACCTTGGCAAATATGATGTCAGATACACAATAAAAAGTCACCAGGCACATGAGGACACAAGACAGTTTGAATGAAAGCCAAACAACAGAAAATTCAAATTTTAAAAATGGCTCCAGATATTGAAGTTATCATGTATGGACTCTAAAATAACTATCTTTGATAGATATATAGATACATGGGAAGATACATGATACAGGAGGTATAATAAAATGTTAAGGGTAGAATATATATGACAGGTAGATCTTAATTGTAAAATTCTTTCAACGTTTTTATGCTTAAAATTTGACAGAATAAAATGTTGGAAAAATAATATGTTGAAAAAATAACAGAAGCACAAACACCCACATATGGTCAGGATAACAGTGATTCTAAGAGAAAACAGCCCATCTGCTCACAAGGAGGCCTTTCCTGGCTTAGTGGTCTAAGGAGATTTTAACCATGGGTTCTCATGAAGGGAGCATCACTTTTTTGTTGCCTTTTTTTTTTTTTTTTTTTTTGCCAAGATGGCTAACTAGGGATGTCAGATGCCAGTTCTCCTCAGAAAGAAGATCAAAATTATGGGTGAGTGGCTCATAAGATAGCCAAATAGAAACAGTTCCAATCTGCAGCTCCCAGCAAGATCAACACAGAAGGCAAGCGATTTCTGCATTTCCAACTGAGGTACTCAGCTCATCTCATTGGGACTGTTTGACAGTGCGTACAGACCACTTAGGGCTAGCAGTAGCAGGGTGGGACGTCACCTCACCTGGGAAGCACAAAGGGTCAGGGAACTCCCTCCCTTAGCAAAGGGAAGCTGTGAAGGGCTGGACTGTGAGGATCAGTGCACTCCAGCCCAGATACTAATCTTTTCCCACGGTCTTCACAACCTGCAGACCAGGAGATTCCCTCGGGTGCCTATGCCACCAGGGCCCTAGATTTCAAGCACAAAAACGGGCAGCCACGGGGGCAGACACCAAGCTAAGTGCAGGCATTTTTGGTTTTGGTTTTGTTTTTTTCATACCCCAGTGGCACCTGAAGTGCCAGCAAGACAGAACCGTTCATTCCCCTGGAAAGGGAGGCTGAAGCCAAGGAGCCAAGTGGTCTAGCTCAGTGGAGATAGACAAAAGGTAGATAAATCCATGAAGATGAGGAAAAATCAGCACAAAAAGGCTGAGAACTCCAAAAACCAGAATGCCTTTTCTGCTCCAAACGATAACTACTCACCAGCAAGAGAACAAAACTGAACAGAGAATGAGTTTGACGAATTGACAGAAGTAAGCTTCAGAGGGTGAGTAATAAACTCCTCTGAGCTAAAGGAGGGTGATAACAAATTCTTCTGAGCTAAAGTAGGCTTCAGAGGGTGGGTAATAACAAATTCTTCTGAGCTAAAGTGCTAACCCAATGCAAGGAAGCTAAGAATCTTGAAAAAAGGTTAGAGAAATTGCTAACTAGAATAACCAGTTTAGAGAAGAACATAAATGACCTCATAGAGCTGAGAAACACAGCACAATAACTTCATGAAGTATACACAAGTATCAACAACCTAACTGATCAAGTGGAAGAAAGGATATCAGAGATTGAAAATCAACTTAATGAAATAAAGCATGAAGAAAAGATTAGAGAAAAAAGAATGAAAAGGAAAGAACAAAGCCTCCAAGAAATATGGGACTATGTGAAAAGACCAAATCTACATTTGATTGGTGTACCTGAAAGTGGCAGGGAGAATGGGACCAATTTGGAAAACACTCTTCAGGGTATTATCCAGGAGAACTTCCCCAACCTAGCAGGACAGACCAACATTCAAATACAAGAAATACAGAGACCACCACAAAGATAATCCTTGAGAAGAGCAACTCCAAGACACATAATTGTCAGATTCACCAAGGTTGAATTGAAGGAAAAAATGTTAAGGGCAGCTAGAGAGAAAGGTCAGGTTGTGCTCGCTTCAGCAGCACATATACTAAAATTGAGAAAGGTCAGGTTACACACAGTGGGAAGCCCATCAGACTAACAGTGGATCTCTCTGCAGAAACCCTATAAGTCAGAAGAGAGTGGCCAATATTCAACATCCTTAAAGAAAATTCATATCCAGCCAAATTAAGCTTCATAAGCAAAGGAAAAATAAAATCCTTTACAGACAAGCAAATGCTCAGAGATTCTGTCATCATCAGACCTGCCTTATAAGAGCTCCTGAAGAAGGCACTAAATATGGAAAGGGAAAAAAACAGTACCAGCCACTAGAAAAATATACCATATTGTAAAGACCATTGACACATGAAGAAACTGCATCAACTAACAGGTAAAATAACCAGCTAGCAACATAATGAGAGAATCAAATTCACACATAACAATATTAACCTTAAATGTAAATGGGCTAAATGCCCAAATCAAAAGACACAGACTGACAAATTGGATAAAGAGTTAAGACCCATCAGTGTGCTTATTCAGGAGACACATCTCACATGCAAAGACACACATAGGCTCAAAATAAAGGGATGGAGGAATATTTATCAAGCAAATGGAAAGCAAAAAAAAAAAAAAAAAAAAAAAAAAAGCAAGGATTTCAATCCTAGTCCCTGATAAAATAGACTTTAAACCAACAAAGATCAAAAAGGACAAAGGGCATTACATAATGGTAAAGGGATCAATGCAACAAGAAGAGCTAACTATCCTAAATATATATGCACTCAATACAGGAGCACCCAGATTCATAAAGCAAGTTCTTAGAGACCTACAAAGAGACTTAGACCCCCAAAAAATAGTAGTGGCAGACTTTAACACACCACTGTCATTATTAGACAGATCAATGAGACAGAAAATAAACAAGGATATTCAGGACTGAACTCAGCTCTGGTCCAAGTGGACCTAATAGACATCTACAGAACTCTCCACCAAAAATCGTCATAATATACATTCTTTTCAGTACCACATCACACTTAGTCTAAAATTGACCACATAATCAGAAGTAAAACACTCATCAGCAAATGCAAAAGAACTGGAAATCATAACAAACAGTCTCTCAGACTACAGTGCAGTGAAATTAGAACTCAGGATTAAGAAACTCACTCAAAACTGTACAAATACCTGAAAACTGAACAACCTGCTCCTGAGTGCCTACTGGATAAATAACAAAGTTAAGGCAGAAATAAATAAGTTATTTGAAACCAATGAGAACAAAGATACAACCTACCAGAATCTCTGGGACACAGCTAAAGCAGTGTTTATAGGGACATTTATAGCGCTAAATGCCCACAGGAGAAAGTGGGAAAGATCTAAAATTGACACCCTAACATCACAATTAAAAGAACTAGAGAAGCAAGAGCAAACAAATTCAAAAGCTAGCAGAAGATAAGAAATAGCTAAGATCAGAGCAGAACTGAAGGAGATAGAGAGATGGAAAACCCTTCAAAAAAATCAATGAATCCAGAAACTGGTTTTTGAAAAGATTAACAAAACAGATACACCACTAGTAAGACTAATAAAAAAATAAAAGAATCAAATAGACACAATAAAAAACAATAAAGATTATATCAACACTGATCCCACAGAAATACAAACTACCATCAGAGAATACTATAAACATTTCAACACTAATAAGCTAGAAAAATCTAGAAGAAATGGATAAATTCCTGGACACATACACCCTCCCAAACTAAATCAGGAAGAAGTCAAATCCCTCAATGGACTAATAACAAGTTCTGAAATTGAAGCAGTAATTAATAGTCTGTAAACCAAAAAAAGCCCAGGGCCAGACAAATTCACAGCCAAATTCTACCAGAGGCACAAACAGGAGCCGGTGCCATTTTTTTTCTGGAACTATTCCAAACAACAGAAAAAGAGGAACTCCTCCTTAAGGCATTTTATGAGGACCAGCATTATCCTGATACCAAAACCTGGCAGAGACAGAAAAGAAAAAGAAAACTTTAGGCCAATATCTCTGATGAACATCAATGTGAAAATCCTGAATAAAATACTGGCAAACAGAATCCAACAGCACACACAAAGTTTATCCACCACAATCAAGTTGGCTTCATCCATGGGATGCAAAGCTAGTTCAACATATGCAAATCAATAAATGTAATCTATCACATAAACAGAACCAATGACAAAAACCACATGATTATCTCAATAGATGCAGAAAAGGTCTTTGATAAAATTCAACACCCCTTCATAATAAAAACTCTCACCAAACTAGATACTGATGGAATGTATCTCAAAAGAGTAAGCGCTATTTATGACAAGCCCACAACCAATATCACATTGAATAAGCAAAAGCCTGAAGCAT